AACAATAAAAACTACAGAGCTTTGATCAGAAAACTAAGCATTTAAATATCATCTCACCAAGACATTTGGCGATTTAGAATGACAACTGATATTTATATGCATTTATGTTAGAATTCTTGTACACTATTACAAAGATCTCATTGATTTTCATCACAAGCTATCAGAATGTCATCTTTTTTTGACCATATATAAATAACATCTACAACAAAATGAAAATGTTTGCTCTGTTTGGGCCTACTGAGGTGTTTTCTCTCTCTCTGAACTCTAAATTCTCCTTTATCATACTATATGAACCATAAAAGCCTGATAATGCACATATACATTTATTTTTTTAGATTTTTCTATAAACTATTCCATTTAAAAATATATATATATTTCTGACTTATTTCATGTCAGGATTTAAAGGGTTGAAAACAAATGTAACACCGGACAAAACAGCTGACCATCAGGCCTTACCTGAAGAGCATAAAGACTGTGGCTGGCATCAAAAAGATCTCATTGCAAGCGATAAACTTTAAGATGTTCTGCTGATTGGCTGTGAGCTTGTTCAAAAAGTTCCTCACAAACATAAGGCTGTTTGGGCCCATGGTCTGAGAACAGATGAAACAGACACAAATCTCAGGATGGAATTATGAAAAATACACATCTCTAAGCAATATAAATGAAAAGGGCAGAGACTTACATCAAGGACTTTTTTAGTGTAGGTGGTGGCATGGAGAAGTGAGAAGAGGAACACTGGAAAAATGCTCACTAAGAACAAAAGTCAAGGATACATAAAGACAAAATAATGCCATAACGCAAGAAAAACAGATATTTTCCCCCAAGATATTTCCAAAGGAAGGGGTCTTTGAGAAAGGATACTTGTGATTGGGTAGGAGTTAACTAGGATGAGGGAGTAGAGGAGATAGTGGCAGCTGTCCTCCTGTAAGGCCTGGGCCAGGAAGGCTCTGCTCAGCTGAAAGTGAGGAAGTCTCTGGTGCAAACGCAGAGCACTGGTCAAGGCATTTGCCAGCAATGCCCTCTGATAGAAGTTAGTAGCTGCTTGGGGCCTGGACAGAGAAAAATCTATTCTTATTCTTCCAATCACTGACTTAAAAAGAAATCTGTGAAGAGATGACTTCTTGCGTCAGACCAAGGCTGTATCTCATTGCTAGTTTTA